TTAGCCAGTGCAGTTGGCGAGTTGTCCGGTCTTCTCGGACTATTCCTTGACACTGGGTCATGCAGCTCGTTAACTCAGGGTGTGGTTGTTGTGTTGGTGATAGCTTCTACACCCTAAACAAATTCACGCCTAGGTGGCCCTTTGGCCGGCCATCCTATTTACATGAGGGGCAACCATTTATTTATGTATGTGTACTAAGAAAAACTTCCCACAACTTGCCGCTACTGTTAACTGGTGATAATGACCCTTGATTATTATCGTCAACACATAATATCACCTCACATAAATTCACTACTTGGGTCATTTATCATCACCGTAACGAATTGGTTTATTGAGTTGTGTTAGCGAGGTCAGGTACATGAGAGCAATGTTCATCGGTTGATAGCTAGCATTTGTTTGTGAGGGGAGAGACATTGATTGGCTGACAGCAGGAGGTTGTAAGGTCACTGCTGGTTGGTTAATAAGATAAATGTATGTATTAGAGCTTAGTGTTGATTGGCTAACAGCAGGAAATTAAAGACATTTAATTGATTAGCTAATAGCAAGACTTTATATAAACGTTGATTGGCTATAAGGAAATCTCAGCATTAATCATCAATTGTTGATTACACGTGTGTGTGTGTTTGAGGACTTTAGTTGTTACAGTATAGTAATAATACATAATAACAACTATACCCTTTCCACACTACCCTGGCCCGCAGACCCACCCTCTAATCTATAGCTACAAATAACTGATTAGTTCCCCTGAGCGTGTTACCTCCCCCCGGACTTCGCGTATAATGGGACGTATTTACAGGGACCTTTTAAAATTTTCTAACATCCTCTCTGATGTGCTAATGCCTTGAAATCATTTGCATTTTGATAGTCCAGATATTAAACATTATTTTAGATAATAACGGTTATCAATTGTGAACGCCTGTAGTTGTGATTTTCTATGAACCAATCAGCCATTAGTATAGAAGAAGGGCCAGGTTAGCGTGGAAATAGTATACACCTGTATTGGCTGACAGCAGAATAAATAGCGGCGTTACTAACTGCTAGTACACGTCAACACTCAGCTATTGGTTGCTAGCTGCTACACTATACAGAATTTTAAAACACATTCATGATTGGGCCTTCTTTCTCTCTATCTCTCTCTTTTCCTTACTTTTTCTCACTTCTCCCTCTCTCTCTCACCACCCAACACCCCCATTCTCTCTCCCTCTCTTTCTCTCTATCTCTCAAACAGGAGATATCACAGCCTGGTCAAAAAAAAAAATAATCCCCTCCATTGACATAACCAGTCTAGCGGACGGGACCAAACACACACACATCCTCTTCAGATCCAGAGCTCGAGTTGACTTGAGTATCACACACGATCGTAAACAAATATTAGCCCAATTTTTTTTTCTCGTTTCTTCTGTCTAAATACTGAGAGATTATGTTACTTGTTTTAATTAAGAAATATGAGCCTCGTTGGATCGTGTTTAGTTTTTGATGAAGTGGAATGGATGTTTTTTTTTCGTGTGTGTGTGTGTGTGTGTGTGTGTGTGTGTGTGTTTGTATAGGTGTGTGTGTTTGTATCTGTGTTTGTAGGTGAATGCAATAAGACAGACAGACAGACAGACAGACAGATGAAGACAAAAATAATACAAATATATTGACTATTATATACAAAGTACGACCCCCAATGACAGGTTAATTTGGCCATTTTACGACCAAACGACCTGCGAGGGGACCAACAACATCCCCTCCTCACCCACCCACCCACACCCCATACCTCACCCTACACCTCACCCCCTCAGTTTGGGGTAAGTGAAACCTCCTTGTAACGGATTTTTCTCATCCTTCAGTCCGTTAAAGAGAGGTTTTGCTGCATGGAATTACGTCAGGATAGTTTAGGTTAGTTTAATGCAGGATTGGTTAGGTTGGGTTAGATCGGGATAGTTTAGGTTAGGTCAGATCAGGTCAGTATTATTTAGGTTAGGTCAGGTCAAGTCAGGTCAGTATTATTTAGGTCAGGTTAGGTTTGGTATAATGAAATTCCCTTGGTAGTTATGAGGAAAATTTCACCCTGAGGAATTTAAAAGTACTGTACAGGACCTGGCACTAATGAGGCTCACGTGACATACAGTAACTCTGAATAAATAATCACCTAATTTTCCTTCACTCTACTACTATTGTTTTTGACCTATAGCCACAACTGTAGCCCTGATTGACACACACACAGATTATTAACCTAATCTAACCTGAACTAACCTAACCCCACCCCACCTCACCCCACCCCACCCCACCCCACCCCACCCCACCCCACACCACCCCACCCTCCCACCCCACCCCACCCCACCCCACCTCACCTCACCTCACGTATCATTTACTGAAACACCAACAACACTTTACCTTATTAAGTTCTCCATGTCGAAGTGTTGAGCTTTCTTCTTGGCAGCCTCAACATCCTCTACGGGGGGCATGGAAGCCTCTGTGCTGTTGGTCGACATCCTTCTCAAGCCTCCGTGTGTGGGGGGGAGAGAGAGAGGAAGGAAGGAGGGAGGGAGGGAGGTTTTCTGTATTGTTGAGATAATGTATTACGATGTTTTAATGAACGAGGTGACTTACTGTATAGGGTGTGTGTGTGTGGGCTTCAATAGCTAAGGTCTTTCCAGTGTGTATCTTAAGGAAATAAATGCAGTAATTAGTAACGTTTAAATATTAGGATAAATGCTTCTTATTGGACGAGACTCTCAATGGAGCCTCTTGTCTTCTGATGAGCCTCTGAATGAAGTCGTTTGCTTTCTCACGAGTCTGTACAGGTTATCTTCAGAGTTCTCTCCTGACTAAGGTTTGAAATGAAGCTCCTTAATCACTGGTTGAGTTACTGTTGAGGCTCGGTTGATATTGCAGTGATCTTGATAATGTTGCAGAGGTCTTGTTGATGTTGCAAAGATATTGTCTATGTTGCAGAGATCTAGTTGATGTTGCAGAGGTCTTGTTGTTGTTGCAAATATCTTGATAATGTTGCAAAGATTTTGTCGATGTTGCAAAGATCTTGTCGATGTTGCAAAGATTTTGTCGATTTTGCAGAGATCTTGTTGGTGTTGCAGAGGTGTTACTGATATTGCAAGTGTCTTTTTCTCCTGACGAAGGCTTAAATCAACACTTCACTCCCAGGGTCATCACCACACGAGCAATTTCTTACGTCACCTTTTCACCAAGTCTTAGAAACCGTGGCCTCAATTTTCAATAAGTCTTAGGCTTTAAAGCTCCAGGTTTCATTATCTCTTTCAGAAGTCCTCAAGTTTCACTAAGTCCTTAACTTAGAGGCTCAAGTTTCACCAAATTCTCAGAAAAAAATAGGTCGAGTTTCACTATGACATAAAATAGGTCTCCAAGCTTCACGGAATCCGAGAAAATAGATTAAATTTTCAACAATCTCTTCAAAAATAGGTCTTCTAGGGTCGACAAGACGTAATCAGGAAAACATTGGATAATACCTGTAAAAGTCCCGCTTGGCTAAACAGAAAAACACGTTAATTAGGAAGAAAAACCCTGATGCTATTTATGTTAATTTTTCTGATAGTTTCTTTAAATCAAATTCTGAATGGTGGTAGTGGGGGGGGGGGTGCAGGGCCGAATCTCATGTAGGTTGAGTTAGGTTAGGTGGGATTGGGTTTAGATTTGGTGGGATTTGGTTAGGTTTCAAGCTCCATTTTGATGTAACTTGAACTGGTAGGATGGTTGTACTTGGTGGTGGTTGGTGGTAGGGAGAGTGAGTGAGTACGTGTGGTGTCCACGAGAGCTAGTTGTCCTCTGTCTATCTGTTGACGAGAGACTAAGTAGTAGTGTACCTAGTGTAACTCCTCCCACTTTTCTCTAACCTCCTCCTCCTCCTTCCTTTTCCTTTCTCCTCCTCTTTCCTTTTCATTTCTCCTCCTCCTCTCCTTGCCTGATACTACCACTATCCTCCCTTATACGCCCTCTCTCGCCCCCCCCCCTATCTTCCAGTACACCTCCCTCCCACACCACTACCACCATAGCTACATTACCTTACACCCCTCTCACCACCACCACCACCTTCCCTCACCCTCCCACACCACCACCACCACCACCCCACCTTGTCACTTTAGCACACTAATGCCCCCAGAATTATATCCATCATCCATAATAGCGACAATCCATCTCAATTGACTTAAAAACCATCCTTAAGGAAATGTGATCATATTTCCCTTTTATAATTCATCACGGTGTCCATTTACCTGTACAAGGTGTGAGTAAATTGTCCTGTAGTTAAGATCTCTGGTCTTAACGATAACCTTTTTTTTATCTAGCTGAGTGACCTTTCGTGTACCTGATAAGTGACCTTTCGTATACCTGTTTTATTTACCTGTAATTAAGAGTAGCAAGGGGATAGTTACACCTGTATCTTGATGTAACGTTATGCAACTTTTTAATATGTTTTAGTGTGTGTGTGTGTGTGTGTTTGTGCGTGCGTGCATAACGTTCACCTCACCTAACCTCACCTCTAAACCACCCAACGTGGAGTGTGTGAACCAGTAATTTGCTTGTAATAACTGATGCCCTTTGAATTTATACTCTGTGGGTCGACAGTCAGCTGATCGATGTCAATAGCAGGTCACATGGTTAATGTAAACACCAAAAACAGCTGATTAATATTTTGGTGTTTGTGTTGACGTGTTTTTTCTTACTGCATCTGTCAGCTCTATGAATACCAATGCTTAGTGACTGACTGACTGAAGGACTTACGAAGTTAAGGTCAAATTTATTACCCAGGGTGTTAATTGGCCCCTTGTGTGTGTGTGAATAATTAAAGTGATCGAGCGTGTTTTGCTGTGTCATTTTTCACCTTGTCTTCTAGCGCGTCTGATGCCATCTTGATTAGACTGTCAACTCATTTTTACCCCTCTCTCTCTCTCTCTCTCTCTCTCTCTCTCTCTCTCTCTCTCGTGACTAAGTTAAGAGAGTGAGTCAGTGGCCTATTTGTCTCTCCGCCAGTGAGTGTAAGTCAAACGTAGACAAGTGCATGTTGTGACAGGTATTGAGGCCATACCTGTCCTTAACCTAATTACTCATGAGCACCTCGATAGATAGATAGATTGATTGTTTATGACAGGTTTGTTCATCCTCGGGTAGCCATCAAAGCATGACGTCGCTCAACAAATATACGTACTATCTACTCGTAATAAATTTCCTCTAAAAAACTACAACAACATTCTACCAACGAGGGAGATTATACACTTGTCAAATTATTACGACTGTATTGGAGAGATACGATAAACAAAAGGCTTTTCACTGACAACTGAGAAACGATAGTCAATTTGTTTTGGAGACGATCCTAATGCCACTGAGGATATTGCTGCTGTTGTGGGTGCTGAGACGACTGTGTGTGTGTGTGTGTGTGTGTGTGTGTGTGTGTGTGTGTGTGTGTGTGTGTGTGTGTGTGTGTGTGTGTGTGTGTGTGTGTGTGTGTGTGTGTGTGTGTGTGTGTGTGTGTGTGTGTGTGTGTGTGTGTGTGTGTGTGTGTGTGTGTGTGTGTGTGTGATTAATAAAAGTAATTTGAAATTATTCTTAGTGTCTGCTGTAGTACATTTCTTCAAGTTCATTAATCTCTCGTATTTCAATTTGTCTCTTTATTCCCGTCTGTCTCTGTGTATGTTTGTGTATCAATCTGTTTGTTGAGGGAGGAGGAGGAGGAGGGAGAGGAGGTTGGTGTTGGAGGAGGAAGAGGGGAGGCGGTAGAGAAGAAGGGGTCATTGAGCAAGACAAGGAAGGAGTAATAATGGATGAGTCACCCACACACACACACACACACACACACACACACACACACACACACACACTCACACTCACACACACACACACACACACACACACACACACATACATGCACACACACACACACACACACACACACACACACACACACACACACACACACACACACACACACACACATACACATACATGCACACACACACACACACACACACACACACACACACACACACACACACACACACACACACACACACACACACACACACACACACACCTCTGATTGATCACATTTACTGCTTGTTACGCTAATCACTGCCAACACCTGAGAAGGTAATTTGATTTGTGGCAACGGTGAGGGGGGTGGTGGGTAGAGGGTTGGGGAGGATGAGGGGAGGTGAGGGCTGGTGGGTGAGGGGGAGTAAGGTTGGGGGGGGGGAATTTGAGGGGAAGGGGAACTTACTTTCTTAACTTTACCTAACGTACTGTAACCCCCCAACACAACCCTCTCCTGAAGGTACCGTTAGGGTGTTTAATCATCAAGTAACTGGGATCAACATACTGAGAGCAGATCACAGGAACACATCAATACTCACTTCTTTACCATTTATAGGTTCGTAAATCTGGTGGACTGCACAATAGTCGATTCTTTTATCTTCTTGTTGTTGGTGTAAATAAAACTTAACAAACTCGTAATAAATGGATATATAATTTGACTAACATAAACAAGAGGTTTTTTTTTTTTTTTTAGGTGAGGTATTTTGTTATATATTTTAGAGTAAATGTAATTATTGTATCGTGGAAGTGGAGTTAGCGTGATGTGTGTGTGTGCCGAATGTTCTTTTCCCCCTCTTTATGTTTTGTCAGGTTTCATGCAGTTTTTTTGGCATCTTTTTGGTGTGTGTCGTCTTGATAACTTTGACTCCAATATTGATGTAGTATTTCTCCCCTAACCAGAACATTAACCTACTAAACTATTTTCAAATGAGGGTCATTCAATCTTTGTGACCTCAGACCAAGGTTGAGGTCACGAGAGGTCAGTTGCGGTGCAGAATGTTTTTGTATATATACCAGATCAGATTTCACTTGTTGTTTGTGTGTTATGTTTGTGTTCTCATAGTGTTTGTTTGTGTTTGTTTGGGTGGGTGTATTAATGTAACTATGACAACAGGTAACCAGTTCATTAACTACACACACACACACACACACCTGTTGTCTATATGCTATACACCACAACAGGTAGAAATAGTGATAGTAATAGTATAATAGTAATAGTCTCAGTAATATTTATTTAGAAAGATATAGAGACAGGTACAATATTTTAACATTTATTTATGATTCCGTAAAAAGTATTCAGTTGTTCACGATGGTCATGGCGAGGCTCTACAGTATAACACACCGTTAACTGTGACAGATGTGTGAATTGATGGTGTACTCGAAGCGTGGCGTCCCTCTTACTCCCACCAATAGCTGTAGCCCATGGTTTTGGTTGACTGTAAAATTCTTGTAAATCAATCAAATTCCTCCATGAAAGGCTGTTGTAGGGAGCAGCGGTGTACAACTCACAGTTGAATAGCTTGGTCTTATCAAGTGTAGGTTCAAGGCTGAATCGCTGACTGCGTAGACCAGGCTATTCACTTGGTTTCAGCTTTATAGCCACTGTGTTTTAAATAATGATCAAGCATGGTTCTGAAGACCCCAACACTTGAGGTACAGTACTACACGTCCATCCTCTGCTGTGGTAGGTAGTAGGCAGCTATCAAACAGGGAGGTACTACCGCCTGGGAAGATATTGGAAGCATAAATGTATTGTTTAATGGTAGAACCTGCTACCATATGGTATCACAAAAATTGTAACCAAGTCCCAGGTTGCTGCTCTGACTTTCTGCCTCATTTACACACAATTGCAGGGTGATGACACTCCCTCATATTGATCCTCATAACGTCAATGAACTCCACCAACTAACTCACCTCTTCTGACAGCCTGGAATCAACTTAAAGCTAGTTCAGTTCCTAACATAAAAAGCACAATAAGAAAAAAAAACACATAAATTCATCTTTACAGTACTCGTAAAAAAATTGGAATAGAATTTCGCAAATCTTAAAATGAATGTGAGAAACTACAAGACATACTTAAGGCCATTGTTAATAATTCTGGCCACTGGGTAAGTACATACATTAATTTACAGTATATAACAGAATTATTTATCATAACAGCCTTTGTGAGCTATAAACCAGATACTTTGAATAGCATTTCCCAAAAATACTACCAGCTATACTGTACAACTTAACATGTATATATATTTCTGTACCCTCACACACACCCCCCAAAAAAAAGTAAATAAAAATCTAGAATCTTTTGAGGGTGTAAAATAAATCCTTGGTAGACTATACACATTTATTGAAGCTCTTTATTGTGTGGAAAGGTAGAAAGATATTTTTTGTTTATTATTTAGTGAACTGTTCAAGTGCCATTGGGAGTCAGGTGTATAAATACTTGATAGATGAGGTGAAGACAGGTGTGTGTGAGTGTGTGTATTTATGTGCGTGTATGTTTATGTATCTGTGTGTCTGTGTATTTATGTGTGTGTGTGTATTTATGTGTCTGTGTGTGTCTTTGTGTGTACTTTTATGTACTATGTGTGTGTATTTATGTGTCTTTGTGTGTACAGCATGTGTTTATGTATCAGTGTGTGTAGGTGTTTATAGAAGTATGTGTCCATGTGTGTTTATGCTTCTGTGTGCATGTATTATGTATTATGTATGTGTATGTGTGTGTGTGTGTGTGTGTGTGTGACATGCACTCAAGAGGATCACAACCAGGGTTCATCAAAGCTGGTTTATTACTCTTGACTTATTGACAGATTCAAGGATATTTATACTTGTCTGTTGTTGTAATTGTTGTTGTTTGATGATGATTTTTGTTGTTGTTTGATGATGCTTTTGTTGTTATTATTATTAGTTTGTTTGTTTCAGAGTGTTGACAGCCACGTCATTAACATCAT